TCCATCAAGGCTTTGCACATCACGGCTTCTGTTAGGAAAACCCAGATTGCCGATCGCCGTAGCAGCGCAGGGAGAGCGGGTGAGGGACGCGGGCCGGGCGGAGCCGCAGCTGCCGATCCCGGAAGACTCTGGCCTGCCGGCTCCGGGGGCTGCTGGCCTCTGCAGAGGGCTCATGTTCCCTAGGAGCTGCGGCAGCCCCAGCTTGGACGGGGTAGAGGGCAGAGGCCAGAGGGCAGAGGGCAGAGGGCAGCACCAGGCACTGACTGGGAAGCAGGATTGGGGGAAGGGCAGGCCGCCAAAGGCTGGGAGGTGCCCTGCAGCGGCGAGTGGCAGCTGATGTGGGGACCGCTCCCGCCAGCTCAGCCGCCGCCGGACCTCCCCAAGGACAGCTGGCCTGGCCCATGGCCTGTGGAGTGGCCCTCTGTCCACTCCACCGCCAGCGCCGTGCGGGCACCTGGCCGCCTGCCACGCCTGGCATCTGTGCCCAGCGGGCCCACCTGTTGCGGCCCAGGCCCCCTCCGAGGAGCTGCCGGCTGTGCGGCCGCCTTGTCCTGGCTGGCAGAGCGGGGAGTTTCTAGGACAGGCCTGCCAGGCCCGGGAGCTCCTCTCCAGCAGCGCCCGGTTCTGCTGCCGGCGTCAGCGAGCGCGTGAGCCGGAGACCGCTTCCCGCCTCAGGCTCCTGCCCTGGGCAAGGCGGGGCCCACAGCCTCTCCAGGAAGGAGCCTTCCGGGGCCACGAATCCCCAATCTCTCTTACAGGGGTTCTCCCGGGGTTTCCCCGAACCCGCGGGCCCTGGTTTTCAACACGCCCACAGCCCCGTCCACGGGCCCTCTGTGGGCCGTCCGAGTTCCGATGCTTCAGTGAACCCTGCCTTTGGGCCGTACCCCGGTGACTCATCGGGTGCCCAGGCCCCGCGGCTCCTCGCCATGGCCCTCACACCCAGGGACACTCAGCGTGAGGAGGCCCAGCTGGGGTGACCTCAGCAGTGTGTCTGCGATGACCAGGCATCACCGCTGTGCAGCGCCCGCACGCTAGCTGTCCGTCGGAGCGCGGCCGGTCCCCGCGCGGCTCTGTGGTGCTCATTGGGTGTGTGGCCTCGGGGGTGTTTCCAGATGCACACGCATGTGGGTCCCCACGCAGCTCTGGGGCTGCCGAGGGCTGGCAGTGGGCCAAGTCACTGCAGTGGCCCCGCAGCCCCCCAAACCCAGGAGGGCCCCTCCTCTGGGTCAGGGCACCACGACGATCCAGGTCCCTCCTGCAGACCCCCGGGCACAGCGTCTTCCTGAGTCTGTGCCTCACCTACCCGACCCCTGATCCCTGACCCCCGACCCCCGACCCTTACCATAAGGCTGAGTCTGTGCCTCACCTGACCCGACCCCTGACTCCTGACCCCCGACTCCTGCCGTGGAGCTAGGCCTTCCTGCCCGCCTGCAGGTCTTAGCGTCGTGCCGGGCGTGTGTGAAGCATTTTGTGGGGAAGCCTGGCTGTGCGCGGGTCCCAGGGGGAGTCAGGCCTCAGAAGGACGAGGATCATTGGGTTTTATCGTCTGGGCCTCCTGGAGCGAGTCTGGGAGAGCAGGGCCATCCTGGGCCTGGCAGAAGCTCATGCCAGACCCTTGCTGCCCAGACCTTGTCCTAGGTGTACCGGCCCCTGACCCTCTTGGCCCCCATGCCGGCCCCTCCTCCCGCCACCCGTTCATTCCTCCTCACACGCGGGGCCTCCCCCTCCAGGAAGTCCTCCTGTCCTTCTCGCTCTCACAGCACCAGAGCCTGCACACCTGTGTGCCTATTGGATTAGGAGGGAAACTCACAAGTTGCCGGGATCCTCTCCCGGCCTGGAAGTCAGATATCTGAGACCTGGTGTCGCGGGGGCGTAGCCCTCCAGAGGCCCCTGCGTGTGGCCACATGACGCCCACGTCGGCCCCGCGGGGCCTCTCAGATCGCCCTGGGTCCTGACAGGGCCAGTCCTCGGTGCAGGCTCTCACGAAGCCCAGGTGGGCCCATCTGGACTCGTAACTGGCCCCCCCTGCAGAGACCCGACTTCCTAGCGTGGCCACGTGCGCAGGCGCGGCGTGAGGCTTGGAGCCACTATTCGATCCATCACTCCCGATGGCTCCTTAGTGGCCCGACGGGCCCTGTTCCCTCCAAACTGCCGGTACCCTGCCACCCCGATGCTTATTGGCGTGCACTAGGGACTGTTCATTCCCTGACTCACCCGCTTCAGAACCCAACAGCTTCAGAACCCCAGGTCCAGACCCATCCCAACCCCATGCAGCCGGAAGGGGCAGCTGGCCAGGCCTCACTGTGTGGTCCACCCCACAGTCCCACGTTGCCTGTCGTCCCTGGTCCTCCCATGTGGGGCAGGACAGATGGAGCCTCGGCCCTGAGTGCTCCCGGGCCTGGCTTCCCGTGGCTCCGCCAGGCCCAGCCCTGTGGCCGAGACACTTGTTTTGTGACTGATAGACCTGATGGTGCCTGTCATTGCGGGGCGGCCTCTGGCTGCGCGGGGCGGGTGCCCACCCCATCGCCTCCCTCAGCGCCTGCTGGCGACACTGGCGATGGAGGGTGCCTTGGAGTGCCTCCAAGCGCCCCGTCTGTTCAGAGCACACATCTGAAGGGAGTGTGGCCGCCACACGAGTGGCAGCCCGTCGGGACGGGAAAGGGTCGCTAGGGAGGGTCAGAATAGGACTGGGGTTTGCACCGACGCCATCCGTGCCCAAGGCAGAACCCTGCCCCTGCGGTCAGTGGGCAGGAGGACAGGGCACAGGGCCTCCGAGCCGGCAGCCTGGGCCGGGGTGGGCTGCTTGCTGTGGCTGCTCACGCAGCATTAGGAGTGGAAGGCGGGGCTGTGTGGCTGCGGGGCTACCTTGGGGGGGCCCTGGGAGAGCCCTTCCCTGGAGAAGGGGGGTGGTCTGCACTGCCCAGCACGGAGTGAGCCTGAGCTGGGGCCAGGGTCTTCCCTTGAGGAGCTCACGGGGGGAGGGGGGAAGGGCAGTCTATGTCTCTGCCTGGTGGAGGCTGTGGAGGAGGCAGAGGCCTGGTGGAGGCTGTGGAGGAGGCAGAGGCCTGGTGGAGGCTGTGGAGCAGGGAGAGGCCTGGTGGAGGCTGTGGAGCAGGGAGAGGCCTGGTGGAGGCTGTGGAGGAGGGAGAGGCCTGGTGGAGGCTGTGGAGGAGGCAGAGACCTGGTGGAGGCTGTGGAGGAGGCAGAGGCCTGGTGGAGGCTGTGGAGGAGGCAGAGGCCTGGTGGAGGCTGTGGAGGAGGCAGAGGCCTGGTGGAGGCTGTGGAGGAGGCAGAGGCCTGGTGGAGGCTGTGGAGGAGGCAGAGGCCTGGTGGAGGCTCCTGCCCTCAGTCCAGCCGCTCTGGGGTTCTGGCCAAGCCACTGCGGTTCCTGGTGCTGGTTTTGGGGTGACTCCCTGGGTGGTGGTTCCTGGGGGTGGCTGGCGGTGGCTCCCTAGGACTCTGCACTCCACTGCACTGTCATGGGTATCGACCCATCCTACCTCACAGAGCCCGGAGGCCTGAGTGCGCTCACTGCTGTCACGTGAGGGGATTGAGCCGAGAGCCGTCACTTCCTCAGCGTTGGGGGCAGCAGTGACTGCCTGTGGGCGCCCCTGGCTCTGGCTCCTGAGTGTCTGAGACCTTGTCTGGTGGCTGCGGGCGAGCCAGGGGCTCCCTTCTCCCCGCCCCCAAACTCCCCTGGTGGGAGGCTGTGCCCCAGTGGGAGGCAGGCGGAGCCTGGGGACTGAGCCCCACCTCCGGGCGTTCAGTCCACCCTGGACGGTCACCTGGATCGCATGGCCTGCCGGGGTCAGGGGGGTGTCCCCTCTGCTGGCCCCCCAGAAGGCAGGATCCTCTGCACAGTCCTCCGATTGGGGGGGCTCAGAGGTCAGGACACTTGTGCTCCTCCAGCTGCGCCCCCACCTCCCCCAGCTGCCCCCTTGCCTGTGCCCTAGGAAGTTCTTGCTGCTGCCATGGCTGGTCCAAGGGCCTGCCCACCTCCTCGGGGCCCCTGACCCTCTCCCGGAGAGGGGGCTGCTCCCAGGGGGCTGTGCAGGGAGGCCGTGGCCTCCCCAACAGCAGACAGAGGGCGGGCACTGACCTCAGCCACCCCCTCCCAGACGCTTCCCGTGCCCCCTCGCTCCCAGTGCTCCCACCCCTGCCCCCCAGGACCTAGAGAAATCTCGGGGCCCTCTCCATCGCCCTGCCCCCGACTTAGTGGGGAGGGGGCAGAAGCCCCCAGGCTGGGAGGCCCGGGAGCCAAGGTCCTGCCCCTGCCTGGAGCCCGGGGGAGGGGGGACGGCAGGCGCCCTGCCTGCGGACGCGGAGCCTCGGGCGGAATGAAGTTGCGCCTTTGGGTTTCTCTCCTTTTCACGCAAACGCGGCGGCTTTAGATCGTCCGGGGGAGCCCGTCTCCCCGCCCCAAACCGGCCTCCGAGGAGCCCTGCCGTCAGCGCCGCGTGCCGCCGAGTGACCGCCTCCCGCCGCCTGCGCCGCCCTCCGCCGGCCCCCGCCGGCCGCGGTGACGCTGCTGTGGGGGCAACGCCGGCCGAGGGGGGGTCTGCGTCTCCGCGGCGCGCGCAGGAGCAGCTGGAGCCGGGCTCCCTCGAACCGAAGGCTTCCAGGACCGGGAACCGCTGCCTCATTTCGCTCCGCCGCTCCGCTCGCGGGAGACGCCGCGCCCCGGCCGGCTCCTCCCGGCTCCGCCGCCGCCGCGCTCCGCCCGCGCCCCGGCCGCAGCCGCCGCTCGGCCCCGGGCCGGCGCCTCCCCACCATGCGGGCTCCCGCGCCGCCTGCGCCCGGCCCCCCCGCCCCGCCCCGGCCCGCCGCGCCCGCCGCCCCCGGCCGCCCGCGCCCCCGCCGCGCGCCCCCCGCGCCCCGCGCCGCCTAGCTCCCTCCGCGCCGGGCGCGCTGGCCGCGATGATGAGCGTCCCCGGCGGAGGGGCGGCCACGGTGCGGACGGGCCCCGGTAACGGTCGCTGCCCCCGGAATTCTCCCCACAGCGACTGCACCATCGAGGAGAAGGCGGTGGTCCTGCAGAAGAAGGACAATGAGGGCTTCGGGTTTGTCCTGCGCGGGGCGAAAGGTAGGCGCGGGCCCCAGCCGGGCCGCATGCACATGTGTGTGCTCGTGTGTGTACATGTGTGTGTACGTGTGTGTGTGTGCACACGCCCGCGTGCAAGGCAAGCCCCCGCTCCAGGCAGCCTCTTCTGGGCACTTGGTTGCTAGACAACCGCGGCTTCACCTGCCGCCTGCTCAGAGGCGCGGGCTGTGACTGGCTTCCTCCCTGCACAGCGTCCCTGCACCCTCTTGCGCCCTCCCCCCTTTAACCCGGTGAGGGGCTCCGGTCCTGGCTGGCGGCCGCCCCCTGCAGAGAGTGAGCTCCTGCCCGTGCGCGGGCGCCTGCCCCTGAGGTGACTTTGCCAAGGAAACGTGGCTGCATGGTCCCTCGGCCGTGGCTGAGCCCGCGGCCCCCGCGTGGCGGGGTCTGGGGTGGGGGGTTCCGGGGTGCATTGCACGTGGAGCCCCCACCGCCAGCCTTTGACGTGGGGGCTTCCCTTCCCAGAGAAAACAAAATGGCATCGGCTCCCCACGGAGGAGACAGCTGGCCGCGCAGGCGAGCATGTGGAGTTCCTCCCGCCCCCTTCCCGGCCCCACCTGCCAGGCTCTGGCTGCCCCGCGGCGTCTGCCCGGCCGTGTGTGTCCACCACTGTCTGTGGTCGCCCCTGCCCTCCCCTGCAAGGGCCATCTCCCTCTTCCCACCAGCACCCTGGCCGCCGGGACACCCCAGGAAAGCCGCCTCTTCCCTGGGATTTCCGGGGCAGCAGCCTGGGGCCCGAAGCCGGGTGCCCGGGGAGACCGCAGGGACGGGTTTCGCGCCCGCAGCCAGCCCGGGCAGCCCGGTTCCGGTGGTTCCGGTGAGCTCCGAGCGAGTTCCCGGCGGCGGCCTCCGGCTCCGGGCTCCGCAGACGGAGCCTCGGCAGGTGGCTGGCTGTGGTGCTTCTGCAGCTCCGTGTGCTTATGGGGGAGCTTTTCCATTTTTAGAACCGAAAGTGTTTAGTCACCGATGCTTTTAAAGAATGACAGGCGTGCACACAGACACGCACCTCGGAGCTCCCAGTCCGTGCTCCCTGCACCGAGGCCCGGGGTGTGGCGGCCCCGAGCGCCCGCCTCCATGGCGCGAGCTGCTGCTGGCCTGGGACGGCGAGGGTCAGCCCTGCCCGGGGTGGCGGCCTGGCCCTCCCCTTCCCACAGGCCCCGGGGCCGCCCCGCAGGGGCCCGGGGGTGCGGCTGCCGCCTTGGACACGTCCCTCGGGCTGTAACGAGCTCCCGTCCTTGCCTTCCCAGCCGATACGCCCATCGAGGAGTTCACGCCGACGCCGGCGTTCCCGGCCCTGCAGTACCTGGAGTCCGTGGACGAAGGCGGGGTGGCCTGGCAGGCCGGCCTGAGGACCGGGGACTTCCTGATCGAGGTAGGCGCGGGCTCGCCTCTTTCTCTGGGAGAGCGCCGACTCTCCGGCGCGTGGGGTCCGCGGTCGGGGCCGCGTGGCCATTGGGCCCGTGGGCGGTGCTCGCGGAGGCTGGCGTGGACGCACGCTCAGCTGTCGCCACCCGCCGTGGCTCCCGTGTCCCGGGGACGTGTATCGGGGCCTTGGGCGCTGACTCTGGCGGGTGGAAATGTGTGGGACGTGGCCGCTGGCCTGGACGTGGCCGGGGGAGAAGCGTGCCCACCCCGGCGTGGGGGCAGGGGGGATCTCCAGGCCATTTGCTGGACGTCGGAACGGACACCTCGAGGGCAGGTGGGACGGGCAGGGTGGCGGCTCTGCGGCGCCAGGCCGTGGCTGGTTTGGAAGTTGCAGGAACTGGCCTGTTGGCGGAGGGTGGCCTTCAGAGACCGAGGAGCGTGGGCACGAGGGGCGTCGGGAGCCGCTGGCACAGAAAGGAAGCCAGCTCAGAAGCTGTGGGATCGGCCTCGGCTGGCAGCAGGAGGGGGTGTGCTCTTAAAGGCGCAGGTGCCCTGTTCCGCAGCCTCCGCCAGCAGCGCCGGCCGCCAGCACCTCTGAGCTGGGCCCCTGTGCGGTCGAGGTGTTGCTTGGCATCGCGCTGTGCAGACGGACGTGTTACTCTCTGGAGCTGGTACGGGAGCAAGAGTGTGCGTCCTTGGGGACGTGTTTTAGGGGCTGGGTAGTGCCCGCGGCCTCGCCCGCGCTCTCGTGTCTTGAAAAGCATTTCTGGACGCTCACCCTGAGCCCTGTCGCATCCGCTTGGAAACCCAGGTGCCGGTGGAGGGGACGGGGGTGTGGTGCCGGCCGGCCCCGTGGTGGTGCTGCTCGTTCTGTGGAGGAGGCGGCCCAGGTGGTGGCGGCGGGCGCCTGAAGCCGTTGTCTGGTTCCGCCTGAGCCTCCCAGGTGTGTCCCGCTGCGGCTTCTCCAGACGGAGCGCCGGGAGCGGGACCGTCCAGCCCGGGGAGGGCGCGGGCGCTGTGGGGGCGTCCCCGTACTCCGGGCCTGTCGGCCTCGGTAGGCTTGCTGACGGAATAACCTGTGAGTCCGCCTGTCGGCACGGCCCTGGTGTAGGCCCTCGGATTGTTTCCTTAATGAACCATCCGCGGAGACGCAGGATGGCCTCTGAGCGAGCCTGGCCGCCGCCCGCCCGGGGAGCAGACTGCCGGGTGGTGGCCGTGGCCGGGTGCGCTGGGCCGGGCGGAGAAGGCATGCCGCCGGGCGGATGGAAATGGGGGGCACCCGAGTCCCTGTAGCCCGGCGGTGTGGCTCGGTTGGTTGGAGCATCATCCGTGCACCGAAGGGTCGCAGGCTCCATCCCAGGGCGGCGGGGATGTGAGCCAACCGAGCGGCGTGTCTCCCCCCCAAAGCGCAGGGAAGCACGCCGCCGGCGAGGATAGAAAGACAGAAAGACGGGTTTCCGCACTTCGCCTCGCTCCTCCTGGGACAGCTCTCACCGCTCTGCTCACCGCCTGCCCGGGAGCGGCCTGATGGTGTGGGACCCTCTGAAGTGCTGGGTCCGGAGGCTCTGCTGGCGTCAGGGTGTCACCAGGGGCAGGGGGAGGGCCCGCCACGGCCAAGGCCCAGCCCCGCTGTGGACGGGCTGGACCCTCGGAGCCCAGCCCCTGCTCATTTCCAAGGCCCCGGTGGGCTCAGCATTCTCCTTCGGGGCTCGAGTGGAAAGCCCGGGAGCCTTCTTTGGGCTGTTTTCCCAGCTGCCGGCCCCGGCGGGATACTAAGGTCACTCACGGCCTCAGCGCGGCCTTTCCCACCGGCTGCACTCTATGGCCTCAGTGAAAAGCTTCCACCTTGGGGGCTGTTTTCAGCGGACTCACGTGGCTCAGCGGAGTCTGCGCCTTTGCAAGAAGCCACCTGGCGCTGAGGGGCTTCTGAGCTTTTGCTGGAGTGAGGGGTCCAGGTGCGGGGTCCCAGGTGCAGGTGCAGGTCCCAGGTTCGGGGTCCCAGGTTCGGGGTCCCAAGTGCAGGTCCCAGGTATGAGGTCCCAGGTACAGGCCATTGTCCTCATCCCACCACGTCTCCCCGAAAGCTTCCTTCCTGTCTGCTCTTGGAAGGAACTCAACGTGTGTCTGATGTGTCCGTCCTTCTTAAAACGCTGCAGGAGTGGAGTGTGGAGCGAGGACCACGTGGAGATGCCTGGTGGCTCCTCTGAGCCCTCAGCACCCACAGAGGCCTCTCCCTCTCGGTCGGCCAGGAGGCCGGGCCAGTCCCATGTGGCCGCGGCCTTGCCCCGAGGCCCCGTGCGAGCGCTCCTCGGTGCTGACCCTCCGGCTGCCTCTTCTCCTGGGCACCTGGGGAGCTGGTTCTTCGTCCTGGGCATCGTTTCTTTGCCCACGACCCTCCCCCCACCGCCAGGAAACAAAAGCTGGCAGTGAAGTTCCTATCGGGCCACTTTCCCTGGGGGATTCAGAGGAGGGGGTTGACTTCTGGAAGGTGGACAGGAAGTGGGTGCCGTGGAGTGTCCTGTGAACATGGCCGCCCCACAGATCATGCCTGCTCACTGTTTCAGCTCCATGGGCCCGGGTCCCAGAGGGGGGGTGCGGGGGCTGATGACACGGGAGTGTCCCGAGAGCTTAAAGGGCAGTGGGAGCCATGCGCCCCGTGGGGACATGCAGGAGCGGCCAGGAGCGGGGGAAGGGAGCGGCAGGCTCGTGTCTCCGTGCAGGTGAGATGGGGGGGGCGAGGTTGGGGGCACAGTGAGGCCCGAGGAGGCCCCTCTGGTTGCAGCAGAGCCCGCTCAGGCCGGCGAGGGGCAGAGCTTGCCGGGTCCCTCTCTCCCTTTGAGGTTCTCTGGTTAAGTGTCCGGACCCTGAGCAGGGGGGGCGTGTGGCTTGGGGACAGCTTTGCATCGAGGAATTGGGGAGACAGGGAGGTCGGGGGTGGTCTTGACGTCTTCCAGGGACTCACCGAATTGATGGTCCCTCGACCCCTGTCAGCGGCACCCGGCTGAGACCAGAGCCACCGCAGACCTTGCGGAAGCCCGGGCCTGCAGGGCGGGCGCCATGGCGGGAGCCGTAGACCTGTTTGTAGAACCCTGGTGCTGCCAGGCACTCGCTGGGCAGGCGGGAGTCAGGGTGGCGCGCTGGCATCGGAGCCCGTAGGTGGCCCTCGCTGGCTCCACGTGGAAGCAGGTGCCGTGTCTTCCTTCCGGGCTCCCGGGCAGGGAGCTTTGTTCTTGCGTTCCTCTCCTTTCTGCTCCTCAAGCCACCCTGACACGCTCCACATGACCACCCACAGCCACAACGCGTGGGACAGACACCGCCGTGCTGGGTGTGTGACGGGGCAAAGTGTGAGAACGAAAACGCCCTGAGCTGCCGGTTCATCTTCCAGTTAGCAAATGTGTGTATGCCTGTGCGCTGCCGGTGCCCCCTGCCGGTGCCCCCTGCCAGTGCCCCCCCTGACAGTGCCCCCCTGACGGTGCCCCCCCTGCCGGTGCCCCCCCTGCCGGTGCCCCCCTGCCGGTTCCCCCCCTGCCGGTGCCCCCTGCCGGTGCCCCCCTGCCGGTGCCCCCCCTGCCGGTGCCCCCTGCCGGTGCCCCGCTGACGGTGCCCCCCTGCCGGTGCCCCCCTGCCGGTGCCCCCCCTGCCAGTGCCCCCCTGCCGGTTCCCCCCCTGCCGGTGCCCCCCTGCCGGTGACCCCCCTGCCGGTGCCCCCCCTGCTGGAGACCCCCTTGCCGGTGCCCCCCCTGCCAGTGATCCCCCTGCCGGTGCCCCCCCTGCCAGTGCCCCCCCTGCTGGTGCAGTGCTCACGCGTGTCGTGTGGAAGAGTAACTGCCTGTGTCGCGCACCGTGACACTAACCCAGGAGCAGTGCATCCTGGGAAATTATCTAAAACACGGGGAGCTCGGTGTCGCCAAAACCAGGGGTGCACAGCCAGGAAGTGGTTAAGGGGCAACGTCACCTGTTTGTGGATTGATACGAAGCGTTAAAAATGGTGCATGCGCCTGGCAGGTGCGGCTCAGTGGTTGAATGTTGACCTATGAACCAGGAAGTCATGGTTGGATTCCCTGTCAGGGCACATGCCTGGGTTTTGGGCTCCATCCCCATCATGGCCCGTGCAATAAAAATAAATAAATAAATATATATATATATATATATATATATATATATATATATATAGGCACACACACATATTTAAGTTGTGTATGCAAGCCCACACCTGTGTGCTCAGTGGTTAGAGTGTTGGCCTGCACACTGAAAGGCTGTGGGTTCAATTTCTGGCCCCAGTCAGGGTGCATGTGGGAGGCAACCAATCGGTCTCTCTCTCTCTCTCTCTCTCTCTCTCCCCCTTCTCACTCTCTCTCTAAAATATAAACCAGTGGGAAGCATCCTGGGTGAGGGTTAACAAGGACACATGGTGTGAGGCGTTCTCAGGACCCGGGAACGGGCACTGCTTCCAAGGGGTGGGGAGAGGAGGGCACAGGGCCCTGGCGACATCGTCCCAGGGCCCCAGCTCCCTCCGTCGGGCGGGGAGGCATGCCAGACGGGGAAGAGGAACGCTCGGGGACGGGCTCTGGCGCCATGGCTGCCTTCTGCTCCGACTTCCCTGTCTCTCGGAAGCGCTCGGTGCCGGTGTGGTTTTTGACAGGTATTAATTCGATAAGTAGGAAATTATCCCTCAGGAGGGAGCTGTGCGGGAAAAGGATTCCTCCGTGGCCAGGGCGTGGCCGGTGGTGGGCGGAGCCTGGGCCGTGCGCTCTGTGCGGTGCGGCTCCTCAGCTGACCGTCCTCGGAGCCCTGAAGCCGCCCAGGCCAAGGGCGGTCATTTCCCTAAGGAGGTTCCCCCGCCCGGTGGGCGCCTCCATCCTTCATCCTCCAAGGGACGCTCCTGTTTGCTAATCACTCTCCCGCCGGTTCCCGCCGAGCGCCAGAGACGGCGGGAGCTTGTGATGATCCCATGGGCACGGAGGGAAGCCATAAGGAGGCCTGCCCTGGTGCTACCCCGGGGCAGTT